AGACTTTAGAAAAACAGACTTTTCTAAAATTAGAATATGGGTAGAGGAGTCATTATCAGACTGGATCAATTTAAATGGAGTCCAAGAGAAATGGGATTATTTAAAAGTTGCACTATTGAAGGCAACAGAAAATTGCATTAGGCTTGTCAGTAAAAGCAAAAAATTCAAGAATCCACTGTGGTACTCCGCAGATGTGGCCAAAATAGTTGAAAACAAAAAGTTAGCATTTAGGAATTATAAAAAGGAAGACAAAAGGATCTATAAAATTAGGCAGAAAGAGGCTAAGCAAGTTATAAGAGCTTCCAAATCGCACACAGAAGAGAAAATAGCACAGTCAGTAAAAAAAGGGTGATAAAACATTTTTTAGATACATAAATGAGAAAAGAAAAGTAAAACAAGGATTAGTTACATTAAAAACAAAAGAAGGAAGGTATGTAGAAGAGGATAAAGGTCTAGCTGACTGCCTCAATGAATATTTTTGTTCTGTATTTACAGATGAAAATGAAGGAAAGCGACCTCAGTTGAGAAAAAGGATAAATGAGTCATTTATTACATGTGAGTTTACAGAGGAAGAGGTTCTATTTCAACTGTCAAAAGTAAAGACCAATAAGTCAATGGGACCTGATGGAATACACCCAAAGCTATTAAAAGAGCTTAGTGGTGTACTTGCAAAACCATTAACAGAATTATTTAACCTATCATTGTTAACAGGAGTAGTCCCAGAAGATTGGAAGTTAGCGAATGTTGTGCCCATTTACAAGAAAGGTAACAGGGAGAAGTCGGGCAACTATAGGCCAGTAAGCCTTACTTCAGTATTGAGTAAAGTGATGGAAACCATGTTAAAAGATAGGATTGATGAACATCTAAAAACACATGGATTTCAAGATCAGAGACAACATGGGTTTACTTCAGGGAGATCATGCCAAACTAATCTTATTGATTTTTTTGATTGGGTAACTAAAATTATAGATCAGGGTGGTGCAGTAGACATTGCTTACCTAGATTTCAGTAAGGCTTTTGACACTGTTGCACATAGAAGGCTTATCAATAAACTGCAATCTTTAAGTTTGGATTCCAATATTGTTGAATGGGTAAGGCAGTGGCTGAGTGACAGACAACAGAGGGTTGTAGTTAATGGAATATATTCGAAGCTTGGACTTGTCACCAGTGGGGTACCTCAGGGATCTGTACTTGGACCCATTCTCTTTAATATTTTTATTAGTGATTTTGCAGAAGGTCTTGATGGTAAGGTATGTCTTTTTGCTGATGATACTAAGATATGTAACAGGGTTGATGTTCCAGGAGGGATAAGCCAAATGACAAATGATTTAGGTAAACTAGAAAAATGGTCAGAATTGTGGCAACTGACATTTAATGTGGATAAGTGCAAGATAATGCATCTTGGACGTAAAAACCCAAGGGCAGAGTACAGAATATTTGATAGAGTCCTAACCTCAACATATGAGGAAAGGGATTTAGGGGTGATTATTTCTGATGACTTAAAGGTAGGCAGACAATGTAATAGAGCAGCAGGAAATGCTAGCAGAATGCTTGGTTGTATAGGGAGAGGTATTAGCAGTAGAAAGAGGGAAGTGCTCATGCCATTGTACAGAACACTGGTGAGACCTCACTTGGAGTATTGTACACAGTACTGGAGACCGTATCTTCAGAAGGATATTGATTCCTTAGAGAGGGTTCAGAGAAGGGCTACTAAACTGGTTCATGGATTGCGGGATAAAACTTAACAGGAAAGGTTAAAGGATCTTAACATGTATAGCTTGGAGGAAAGACGAGACAGGGGGGATATAATAGAAACATTTCAATATATAAAGGGAATCAACACAGTAAAGGAGGAGACTATATTTAAAAGAAGAAAAACTACCACAACAAGAGGACATAGTCTTAAATTAGAGGGACAAAGGTTTAAAAATAATATCAGGAAGTATTACTTTACTGAGAGGGTAGTGGATGCATGGAATAGCCTTCCAGCTGAAGTGGTAGAGGTTAACACAGTAAATGAGTTTAAGCATGCGTGGGATAGGCATAAGGCTATCCTAACTATAAAATAAGACTAGGGACTAATGAAAGTATTTAGAAAATTGGGCAGACTAGATGGGCCGAATGGTTCTTATCTGCCGTCACATTCTATGTTTCTATGTTTCTATAACTTCTGTTCAGAACTGGGCATTCAACTTGCATTCTCCTTTGCCTACCATCCACAATCTAACAGTGTGGTCGAACGTACCAGTCAATCTATGGAACAGTTTTTACGTTGCTTCGTGTCACAAGGTCAGGACAATTGGTCGGAATTGCTCCTGTGGGAACAATGCTGATCATGTGTCTTCTGGTCATTCTCTATTTTTTGTCACTTACAGTTATCATCCCACCATGCTTCCTGCTGTGTTCTCTGATGTAGGTATGCCTGTTTCTGACCAGCATCTTTCTAATCTGTCTTCTATGTGGGAGAGGGTGAAATCCATCTTGTCCAAGATTTCCGTGTCCCAGAAGTACCATGCAGACAAGCGTCAGAGGGCTGCGCCTACTTATCACGTTGGAGACCTGGTCTGGTTGTCCACTCGGTATATCTGCCTCCGTGTCCCCTCCGTGTCCCCTCCATGAAATTGGCTCCTCATTTCATTGGTCCCTTTAAGGTTCTTTCCTCCTCCTCCATCTCTTGCCCAGGTTCAGGAGGTGCAACATGTTCTTGATTCCAGCTTTTCTAGGGGTTTTTTATAGTACATTGTCCATTGGAAGGGTTATGGTCCAGATGAACATTCCTTGGTGGGTGTTTTTCAAAACTCCATGCTCCTTGTTTGGTTTGTTGTTTCTATTCTGCCAATCCTGATTGGCAGAATAGAGGGTGGAGATAGAGGGGGTGGTACTGTCATACCTCAGTTTGCCACGCGGCACATGCGGCTTCCTGGGGTGCAGCAGCCACGAAGTCTCCGGTCTCACGCCATCCCAGCCACAGTAAACACCATGCAGTGTTTGATTGCAGCACGTGCAGAGCAGCCCCTGCAGGCTATGTCTTCTGGCTACACTTTATCTTTTTAGCAGCCTTGCACCTCCTACAGGAGTCCTTGGAAATTACAGGGTCCTATGGGTGCAGGCTTTTTATAGCATTAAAGTGACAGGTCATATTATTGGGACACATCACTTGCCCTTCACAGGTCACACTGCTTTGTGTGATTTGGTGCAGGTTGATGATGCTGTCCAATAAGATTTTTGTTCTCCCTATTTAAACTTCCCTCTTTCTGGAGATCATTGCCCTGTCGTGGTTTATTCTGCTCGAGAGTGCTTACTGTAAAGTTGTTTTGGTTTTCTCGTTACTGACCCGGCTTTGTATTTGACTATTCTGATTTTCTGGTTCCCCGACTTTGTAATGTTTTTTCGTTTTTGAATATCTCTGGTGTCCTTGACCGTGGCTTGCTATTTTGACTCTGTATTTTTCCCCTATCTAGGGCGCACGTTAACGTGGCTATTCTAAGGTTTTTATTAATCTCTTAATCTCTTTGTATTAATTCACTCTGGTTACTGTTTCCCTATACTCTGTGTGTGTAGGTTACCCAATCTTGATGCCCTTGTATGAAAGTTATTGTGTATTGCTTCACTTTTATTCTGCTTTCAATAAAAAAACAATAAAGAAAATTGAATACAGAGTGCTTACGCTCTCCTGGAGGGTGTACCGCTATCTCACCCAAATACTAGCCGAGACTTAGTGAAGGGAGAAAATGAACTGGTTTATAAGGACCGGACGTCTCTGTGTCTGGAAGATAATTGAGTTAGCTCTCGGTTAAACAAATTATCTAATTACAGAAACTTAACATATGAATAGCCCCCCAAAAAACAAAAAAAACAGTGAAGCACCCCCACATGGCATACATCACTGGGAAGGACTCTCTGGAGCGCCCATTCTGTCCAAAAAGTACCCAGATCAGACATTGCTAGCCCAAATTATGTAATAGTCAATCGTTCAGTAGGGTGCTGCTAGCCCCCAATCTAGTGCAAAGTTCCAGAGTGCTGGGTAGAATTCCCCAGTCAGTGCCTCCTTTGTTAACCCTCCATGTTTTTTTAAAATTGTCTTGGGACAAAGAACACTCTGTTTAAAGTTTTAATGGATTGCGGTGACTCCGCGATCCGATTTTGAGTTCTCGGAGAGTTCAAGGCAGGTCTCGGTCAAGCGCACTGTACCTCACTGGCCCTCTAGTGGTCAAATTGTGATTCTGAGTCAGCAGGAGAGGAACGCTGGGCTGGGAGGCATGGGTTGGAGGGTTCAGGAATAGTGATGTTAGTCTTTTGAGAGGAGGTGGGAGTCCTACAGCCAGGCTGGGTAACGAGGTGGCCCGTCACAATTATATTATATACTGACATTATTGGTACTACTTTTCAGAATCCAAAAAAGCTGTGTTTTTTTGCAGGAGAAACATCTATTTCTAGAAAAAACGATTGTTAAGACTTGCGTTAATAATTAATGTATCTCAGGCAATTGCATAATAACAGACAAAGAAAATCAGCAATGACACAGAACATATGATGAATAATTAGGGTTTATTTTAACCCCAAAATTGCTGTACATCATTGGAATTCAAAAGAAATCAGATTTTTGCCTGAATTTACCCACTGTCTGTTAAATTGTCAGAAGGTGTCCATCAGAGCTTTCAGTGGTTGGAGATACAAGTCCTATTTATTATTCATGAAGAATTATCATTAGAATGGGTTTTGACAATGCCCAGCTGTTCCCAAGGACTATTCCCCAGAATTAGTATTGTTTATTTTTCAAAGAGAACAAACAGCTTCCACAGTGGTTAACTAACATTACATGAAGTGTAACATGTACACGTGGGACAATAGATAACTCTGCTGCGTTTATATGACATAGTAACAATCGTCGCTGTTCTTAGTCTTGTGTCACATTGTATTTGTTTTTCATTAACATGGAGACAGTAGAATTAGTTACGAGTGGCTATGGTGTCTAGCTAAGGATATACTGAGAATGTCATTTAGGATTCAGAACGAGGGACAGCATACATTTGGTAAGCACAAGGTCTTGTAGCGTTGGTGTTTGGCTCAGGAGTGATTTCAATGTCTTCTTTATCCACTGTTGGTTTAAGGATGAAATTTTGCAAGATGGTCGTGAAAAAGAGGAAAAGCTCCATGCGGGCCAAACCCTCCCCAACACACGCACGTTTACCTGAAGACAGAGAGAGTGCAAGATTAAGGAGAAAGGTTTGTTAGTCACTGGTGAAACTCTCTCTAACATATTAATATATGAATATTAATGTTATCACCTGCTGAAAATGGCATGAAGGCATCATTCTTCTTAAAGCAGCCATTCTCATCCAGAAAATGACCAGGGTCAAAGTGTAGAGGGTTTTTAAAGTATTTTGGATCCTTTAGAACTGAGGTCAGAACTAGCAAAACCAAAGTTCCCTAAAATAATTAAAATAAATTGTCAGTGCCAAAGCATCAAATTTAAAACCAAATCTTTAAGAGCAGACATTCAATTGTAGGATAGCACAATTAAACACGTTTATGTGTCAATCCCTCATCAGGCTGACTGCCCTATTTCAATTGACTTGGTTTAAAGGTCATAGAAAGACCCTCCCTGGACTGACAAGGAAGGGGCCGTGACTGATGCTAAGCCGAGGGGTGGGGAATATAGTGATACAAAGTTGCAAAATGACTGCAGGTTATAAGGACAGTGAGGGGAGGGGATTTACCAGTCATCGTTTAGAAAGTGCAGGGATCCTGACTTTCCCTCCCTACCTCCCTAGGACTTTTCTCGTACATATGGAATTGTTGGTCTTTTTCTGGTGCTTGTTGTTGGTTTCTGATTTCTTCTTTTGCCACAGCATGCGGGAGTCCTGGCCAGCGTAGGCAGAAGGGGAAGAAGTTGCTGAGGAGGCTTGGGGACTTGCAGCCTGCTGGGAGCTCATGGCGGAGGCAGGCTGCTCTGGACTTATGGTTTGATGGGATAGACCTGTCTGTTGGTGAATCACCCGAACAGCTGACAGTATAGACTTGCTGGCATGTATAATCAATAAAGCTGTGGCTGTTGCCCTTACCCAACTTAACGAGGTCTCTTGTGTGTTATTGGGGGCAACGGGTTGGGGGACATTCCACCTAGTCAGCAGCCAAGGGAACATATTTATGTCCTGCAGTGTATCAGTGGTGACAAACAATTCATGGGTTCTTTCTGACATAGACATAAAGTGTTTTTATACATAGCTAAAAATACCAGCTATGAATAAAATGTTTACATGTATTTTTATGAAAACAATTTGATATTGAAGACTGAACCTTCTGAATATCATATCCCTTGAAGGTTATATCTTTGGTGGTTGCATGGACAAGCCCAAGAGGAGCAATGTCAGCAAATCGTTGGATTTCATGAATTACAGCATCAGTATACGGCATCTTACTCCTGTCTTCCACTGATGGGCATCGATCTAGACCTATTATATCATCAATCTCGCGGTGGATTTTCTCTGAATTGAAATACGAAAGGAAACAAGAGTATGTATTAAAGATTAAAGTGTTTTTTCTTATAACTCCCACTTAAACTTTGTAAGATTTTAGCAATTTAATTTATTTCCAATGTGGATTTTTCCACTGTGTATATCCTGGCTATGAAGGTAACATTGTGTGGGCTGATGAGCACTCAGTTCCACAAACAGAGTTATATCATAGAACAGTGGTATTAATTGACAATGATACCTTGTATTTCTGGATACTTGAGAAGAATTAGGAACGCATATTGCAGAGTCACGCTTGAAGTCTCTGTCCCAGCAAAGAACAAATCTCTAATTGTTCCCAGTAAATTCTCCTCATGAAATTCTGTACTGTGATTATTTTCCTGGGACATAATTCAAACTTGTTGTTAAACATCTACTTGCTTCATTATTCCTAGATTTGCACAATTCATAAATTGTATCATATTACCTCCTCCATCCTTATCAGGAAGCTGTCTATGAAGTCACGTGGGCAATTTTTGTCCAGTGTCTCTCGATGAGATTGCACCATGTCCTTCACAAACTCCCACAGTTTGTCAAAATTGACAAAGAGTTTCTGGTGTGGACCAGGGATGCGTCTGAGCACATTTGGGCATATGTTAAGGAACTGTAACAGAATTGCATATATTGTAAACTAAGAAGAAAAAAAAATCAGTTTGCAGTGCCTTCTACCAAATACTGAATGAAATAGCTGCTCTGTGTGGAAGTGCTATTTAAAGCTTTATTACATTGTTTTGTTTTGTTTTTTTACATCCTTTTATTTTTGCATTTGTTGAAGAATATATTGGGAAGATATGAATAAGGGAGGTTGCAATAATCTAAGTAAATCTCTTTTTATTTATTTTTTATTTTTTTAAGGTAAATGCTGTTTACCTTATCTGTGAAAGGCGCTGGTTATCATCTGTTTTACTTTTTGCTGAAACATTTGCATATTCCTAACAAGAAAACAACAACATTTTCTCCAATGTCCCCAGTGTGACAGATATCACCTGTCCAATCTTCGAATTCATCAGTCTCGAGATTTCTCTAATATTTGAAAGAAGCGTTTTGAAATTCTCATCTTCGTAGTCAAATCTCTCTCCAAAGACCACAGAGCAGATGACATTGGACACGGCTTGTCCCAGCAGATGGATTGGGTCAAACGGAATGTCTGTTATGAGAATGATGGAATTAATACCAATACCATTTACTCTTTCACCCTTACACATTTTTACCTCCAAGTTATATTACACCTACATCAAGAGCTCTCTCTAGGACTTGTATTTCCAATTGGTCCAAAGCAGTTGTTTAGTGGAGATACCTTTTTACTATTTTTCCTGGCAGTTTGTTATTTAGGACTAAGGCTAAGGATTTGTTTCCCTTACTCTTCCCAAGGTAGAGCGGTGGGTTTTGCAGACTGTAAACACTATATATATATATATATATATATATATATATATATAGACATAGCAGAAATGACCGCACTCCAAGGACTTTATAGAGATTTTGAAATAAAATTTAGCTTTTATTCAATCCATTTAAAAAGTCAACGTTTCAGCTCCCACATGGAGCTTTCATCAGGACAAAACAACATATATATGTGTGTGTTTTCACTCGCACCTCTTAGCCAGTAGTTTTTAGCCTTACCCTTGTAACCATATCAGATCTTAGTGTCTGTTTTTTGTTGTTGTTGTTGTTAATGGACTTGTTATCGATTTATCAAAGTGTCCCAGATTTTTGGTACACTGTGTGAAATCTGTTGGCTTTTCTTTTTCATCTGTTGCTTTTTTGGGGGGCTTAAACATTCATTTTTCAATAAATGCAATTTTTTTAGTATCACAACAGATTTTTAAAACTTTCCAACATTTTATACTACAGAAATGTTCCGTTTCACTTTTAATTTTATAACTGCTCTGAATATGCTAGCCTTCTGAAATAGAAATTTCTGAGAACTTATTATATTGGGAACCATTACTTCAATAAATAATAATATGAGCATTTATATAGCATATAGCATATTTCACAGAAGCTTACATTCTATCAGGAGTTGAAGTAGGTGGGTATATATATCATTAGGTTCCTTGCCCAAGGACACTTGCTAATGAGGCGTTCCAGGGTTCAAACCAGGGTTTTTGGTCTTTACGGCAGCACAACTACTTATAAAGGCATGTTCTGGGTGTTCCACAAATTGTCTTTTTTAATGTATAGTTGGAATACAGACCAGATACCTTTTGAACTAAGCAGCCCACCCATCTACTTTAGGTGCCCCTTTGGAGGTGACCACAGTTAAGCATAAAATGAGTAGAGTCTTTGGAAAAATTCTAGCAGTTTGCATTGCAGTTCGCATGTATATCTCCCATGTTAAAATTAGTGTAGGACCCACCGATATTGGGGTACTGTGATGTATTGGTGAGATTAACACATCATAGCCATATGGTAGAACTGAATTCTCATATGTTTTGCTAAGATAGTTGATTTTAAGTAACCTTGTAAAAAAAAATTCTCCTTTTTTGCAAATTAGAGTTTCCATGTTTGTCTTCAATGATGTTACCTCTCGTCTAACCAGTTGATATATGAGGCACACTCTAATATGAAAATAATGTCAGAATGTCACTTTTCAGAATACTTTGATATGTATCCCACATTTTCCTCCTCTCTGTAACAGACAGAGCTTATAACAATGAATGGTGTTGGTGTTCAGTTACAGGATAAGGAGGTGTGTATTCCTACATTTAATTTTATGCAACATATAAATACCACATTTACATCTAAAGAGTCTCTGCAACACACAAAACATGTGGCTGGTCAGCTTCCATTAAATATACACAGTTAAAGTAACTATCATGTTAGCAAATATATCTATTCAAAATATGTGCCTGTATGACGATTTTTGCTGCTTCTCCAAGACGGGTTCTACAAGAGAAGCAAGAGGCTGCAAGAACATTAATCCACTTACAGTACATCATTCCACAACGCCTGTCTGTCTTTGGAAAATAGTGAAGCATTATCATTTATATAGTAGAATTCAACTAAAAAAAACCTGCTAGATATTATTCAATTATTATTATTTGTTTAAAGGGACACTATAGTCACCCAGACCACTTCAGCTCAATGAAGTGGTCTGGGTGCCAGGTCCCTCAGGTTTTAACGCTTCACATGTAAACATAACAGTTTCAGAGAAACTGCTATATTTACATTTGGGGTTAATCCAGCCTCTAGAGGCGCATTTGCGACGCTGGACGATGCATTTCGCCTACATCGCTCAGAGCGTCCATAGGAAAGCATTGAGAACTGCTTTCTTATGGACACTTTGAATGCGCATTCGACAGATGCCGCGCATTCGCATTAGGCTCCAGTGACGTCGGACAGGGGAGATGACGTCAGACAGGGAGGAGAGGTCACAAGTGCCGAGGGAGCCCAGCGCTGGATTAAGGTAAGTGGCTGAAGGGGTTTTTACCCCTTCAGTGCCAAGGCAGGGGGACCCTGAGGGTGGGGGCATCTTTGTTTTCCTGACACTTTAGTGATCCTTTAATGTTTTCACCAACCTTTGCACTTTCTAAATTCTTCTGCAAGCAATTGAGCCTCCTCTTGAATTCTTTCCTCAATGCTCCTCTTCCCCATTCCAAAATTCCTCAAGGTCATGAGAGAGAATCGACGCATCGTCTTCCATGTCTCTCCATTTGTCATTATAATTCCTGCAATCATAATTAAATACATCTCCAGTTTAGCTTGAAAAATCTAAATTGAGATAGAAAAATTAGTTTGTTGAGCCAAGAAGAAATGTGACCGCCATTTTGGATTCACTATGGATTTTTTTCCAATTTGAAGCAAAATTATAAATCACTTCAAGCTGGGATTTTCTCCTTCTTTTGTATCACGAACAGTAATACAGAATTGTGAAAGGCAGAACTTGATGGACTGAAGTCTTCTTTTCAGCCTATATAACTATGTAAGTACATAACACCTCCATTAGAGATGCATGTATTCCTATAGAATGTAACTATATGCTACAAGGTACCTCCCTATACACTCTATTAGCATGCAATGTGTGCTGTTGAGTCTTTAATAACTGGAATATCTAATAATAATAATCTATTGATAATGGTATTTGTAAATTGCCTCCATCGCACATCCTTTCACGGTGATTAACAAGTACTATTTTATATTTTTATATCACCTTGATATAGTTGTTCATTTTTTGTTTGTTTTTTGGCAAACATTATTTACAGGTAAATGCTATTTTTGATTCTTACCACTTTCCTTAAACAGAATATTAATCACGTCTATTCTCCCCCTGTCGCTTAATGCATCGCCGTTCTCTTCCAGAGCTTCTTTTACAGTCTCGCACCCGATGATTATTACGACAGGCTGACCAACCATATGGAGTGTATACACAGGTCCGTACTTCTCACTCAACTGTGAAAAAAAAGCAGATTCAGGTCTGAGTTGTATTATTTAAGGTTCTGAAAGCAAAAGTAAAAAACTGTCTATGTATAAAACCAGAAGTGGCACATTCATAAATTAATTCCAAATATATAGATGTGAGGTGATATATCCCCAGTTTCCAAACCTCCATATACAGTTTTTAAAGAAAACATGAGTGAGCAGGCAAAACACATTCCTTTTATTTCTTATGGGATTCATATTCAACTGTAAGTTATAACAGAATGGCACAATAAAATTTTTTAAAAACATGGCAACAAAGAAAAAAGTAAAATGACCCCTGTTCAAAAGTCTGCATACCGCTATTTCTTAATATTGTGTATTGCCCCTTTTAGCATCAATGACTGCATGCAGTTTTATGTAATAGTTGTCTATGAGGCCCCTAATACTTGAAAGTGTTATACCTGCCCATTAATCTTGTCAAAATGCCTCCACGTCATGCAAAGTCTTTGGTCTGGCATGAACCACCAAATTGCCATTTATTTTCACAAGATTCCCCATGCCTTTAGAGATCACCCCCTGCCCCTCTCTCCCCCCCACCCCCCTCCGAAAAAAAAAATAATCAGTGAGCCACCACCATGCTTCAAGTTGTTGTTGGGCATATTGTAGCCTGGCTTGTTTGTGGCATTGGTGGCTGGCAACTCGGGCATGCAGCTCTATTTTTTCACATGTTGTATTGTGCTCCTTGAAAGAACCGCATCCTCTTTTTCCAGAGCAGTCTGTATTTCTCTTGAGGTTACTTGTGGGTTTTTCTTTGTATCCCGAACAATTATTCTGGCAGTTGTGGCTGAAATCTTTCTTGGTCTACCTGACTTTGGCTTGGTATCAAGAGATCCCTGAATTGTCCACTTCTTAATAAGTGATTGAACAGTACTGACTGGCATTTTCAGGCTTTGGATATCATTTTTATAGCCTTTTCCATCTTTATAAAGTTCCATTACCTAGTTATGCAGGTTTTTTGACAGTTCTTTTCTGCTTGCCATGGCTCCGTATCTAGCCTGCTCAGTGCATCCATGTGAGAGCTAACAAACTCATTGACTATTTATACACAGACACTAATTGCAATTTGAAAAAGCCAGGTGTGGAAAATGAACCTTTAATTGCCATTTTAACCTGTATGTGTCATCGTGTGTGTCTGTAACAAGACCAGACTTTTGATCAGGACCCTTTGGGTGATTTCTGTTATTATTATGATTTAAAAAGGAGCCAAACAACTATGTGACAATAAATGGCTTCATATGATCACTATCCTTCAATAAAAATAATATTTTTTTGCATGATCAGTCATATTTTTAAAATCATTGCCAACATGTCACAATTTCTACCAAGGTATGCAAACTTTTGAGCACAACTGTAGACTCATGAAACAAATCTATCTATACTGCCTCCCTTGGTAAACTCATTAGCTCCTTTGGCTTCCAATATCATTTCTTTGTGAATGACACGCAAATCTATCTGTCGTCTCCCGATCTCTCCCTGCCCCTCTTGACTAGTGTCTCTGACTGCCTCTCTGCTATTTCTAACTGGATGGCTGCCCACTTCCTTAAACTCAACTTGACCAAAGCTGAAATTCTGGTCTTTCCTCCCTCAAGTGTTGCTACTCCTCTGTCTGTCTCCCTCCAAGTCAACGGTGCTACCATCAGCTCCACGACGCAGGCTCGCTGTCTAGGTGTTCACTTTGACTCCAACCTCTCCTTCAAGCCTCATGTTCAGTCTATCGCCAAATCCTGCCACTTCCATCTTAAAAACATTGCGCGCATAAGACCCTAATTAATGGCAGATGTGACTAAGGTGCTGGTCCACTGTCCTTTCTCACCTTGACTACTGTAATCCGCTTCTCAGTGGTCTTATGTGTTCTTTGCGCCATTACAGTCCACATGGTCATCTTCCTGTCCGCCCGCGCCTCCTACGCCTCACCCTTCTGTCAGTCCCTACAATGGCTTCCTGTAAGATATAGTACTCAATTTAAAATTGTGGTTCTTGCTTTCAAATCTCTACATAATGCTGCTCCCACCTATCTATCCTCCCTAATACACAAGTTTGTCCCGCCTAGGCCCTTACACTCTGCTGAAGACTTACGTCTATCTTCTGTCCTTACTCCCACCTCTGATGCTCGCCTTCAAGACTGCTCAAAGGCTGCACCATTCCAGTGGAACTCACTTCTCTCCTCCATTAGATTCTCACTCAGTCTCCAATCCTTCAAAATTTCATTAAAAACCCACTTCTTCATAAAAGCGTATCAATTAAACTGTTAATCGCTCCCGACTGATTCCTCTCTTGCAACTGTCATTAGTCTAATACTATCCTTACCTTTTGTGTCACTTTACCCCACTCCCTCTAGCATGTAAGCTCATTGAGTAGGGCCTTCAACCCTTCTGTTCCTGTGTGTCCAGTTTGTCTGGTTGCAACTACGTTTGTTCGTCCACCCACTGTAAAGCGCTGCAGAATTTGCGAAATATAAATAATAACATAATAATAATAATCATTTTTGCGCAATGGACAAGCATGTTTGGTGGATTTGTGGTTGAGAGTTCCATCCGTGGCACTAAAAACAAGTGATTGATGGCTCGGGGATAGCCACTGCATTAATGATTTTATTCCCAGATCCAGTGAAAAGTGACCAAAAAAAGGAAACATTAGTAGAGGTAAATAGTAATAATTTTTAATATATTTAATAACTATATATGTTGTAACAAATCATCTCTAATATAGGTAGGATTTTGTCACAGATCTTACGGTAACCACAGTCTTCTCTGGGGTATACAAAGTCCAGGACACATCCAGTTCAGCTTTCCTGGCCAAAATTGGCATTCAAATTAGTTTATTGCATTTTTCCCACACAAACAAATATTAACACTAACTTTGTGTTTGTGACTAAATGGCTACTAAGAATGACTGGACATGCCCCATTTGCAATACATTGGGTTGTCTACTTTTGCAAATGGTATGCCATCATGGGGGTAATTCTTATTCCTGGGCTACCATACAGTCTCAAAGGCAACAGAACCAATCTGGCGACTTTCAATGTGAAAAAACTGAAAAATGTAACATGCTATATTTGACCTTGTAACTTCCCAAAACACCATAAAACCTGTACATAGGGGGTACTGTTTTACACGTGAGACATCACTGAATACAAATATGTGTATTTTATTGCAGTAAAAATAAACAGTATTATGACACTCACAGTTAAAATGTCACGTAGAACTAAAAAAAAGTTTACATTTTTATTTTTTCCCATTTCTTTATGTTTTATTCATATTAAATTATGTTTCATACCTAAATATTTGATGTTAAATGAATTCCCCTGAATAAAATGATATATAATAAGTGTGGGTGCACATAATATGAAAGAGGCGAATTACGCCTGAACAGACATATAGCGCAAATTCATTTTTTTTGTTTACGTTTTGTTTTGATCACAACGTGTACATTTGGCTCAGTCCTTAAGGGGTTAATAGCTAATCAGAGTTTATTTTTGTTTTTATTTTTCATTTTAAGCAGAAGTGCCCCAGGGCCAAATGACAAACTTTGATTCTATAAATCTAAGCATTCCATAACCTGGATCTGCTAGATCTGTCCTTCTGTACGTCTGTCTGTCACTCATATTCTTTCTATCTGTGTTTTTTAGACCAGGGTTATATTTAACATGAAAAATGCATGACTTGCCCCATTGCTAATATGTGAACACACAGAGTCAAATGTCAATCAGCTACCATTAAAAATAATCATAAGATTGAAATGGATGTTATAAAACAAAATTGCCTTAATGATTGTTCCACGTTTCTTTTCTTATTTGGGCTCTAACATCAATATACAAAATATGATTGTACAACTATGCTAGTGAAAAGAAATATACGTGGAAATATTTAACATAAAAATATTATAAATATTGTGTTAAAATAACACATTGCCATTTGCACATTGTATTTGTAACATGTAGTCAAGGTGTTTAAATAGATCTAATATGAGCGATTAAGAGATATTCGTACACCTGTCAATTTACTTTACAGATTCCTTCTAGTTATTTTGCACTTTATTAACATATCTGTTCATCTAACCCCACGTAATCCCAGCAGCTACTTTGTAACTTTATCACTTCTGGTTTGTTATTGTTTACCACCTCTACTGGAATCCTATTCCATGCATTCACTCCTCTTGCTGTAGACTGATACCCACCTGGAGCATAGAGCGAGGAGTTTCCGCTGGGTTAAGTTGCAGCATGTTCCCCAACAAGGGAAGTGGTGTGGGACCCGGGGGCAGGTTCCCTTGTTTCTTTTTCTCTCTCCATATTACAAGGTAAAACAGGAGAGTTATAAAGGAGACGAGAAGTAATGTCCCTGTGAGTCCCAGATCCATTGCAGCAACAATAAATGTTTGGGCAATTCTCTTCCTCCACGTGATCCTGAAAGGGGTTGTCCTCAGTATTGTAACCCTTGAAATTTGGCAGCTGTAAGCAGTTTTACTTGTTTAAAGAAATGTTTTGTATGAGAACTGCAGTGAGATACCCACCTATTGGTTGCTTAGAGAAATACATGAAATATTGGGATTTTTTCTGTCTATACATTTAAGCCTATCTAGTGAAGTGGTCTGTAATATGAGGACTTTTTGCCATACACAGAAACAGACACAGTGCAAACATACAGAGAGGACATAGAGAGGAGAAGGCTGCCTTAGAGTAAACGTTCGTCAAGCTGTGATTGAGGAGTACAGAGAACAACATAATTAATAATCAAGTCATTATCAGTATCAGAAAATCAGAAATCGCACAAATGCACTATTGGGCTAAGCAAGAACCACAGCTGGGTGTCTGAGACAAGAAGTGCAGGGATTTAAAGGACCACTCTAGGCACCCAGACCACTTCAGCTTAATGAAGTGATCTGGGTGCCAGGTCCCTCTAGGATTAACCCTGCCTTCTGTAAAAATAGCAGTTTCATAGAATATGGTTAATCCAGCCTCTAAAGCCTCTAGTGGCTGTCTCATTGACAGCCGCTAGAGGCGTTTGCGTGCTTCTCACTGTGAAAATCACAGTGAGAAGTTGCAAGCGTCCATAGGAAAGCATTGTAAATGCTTTCCTATGAGACTGGCTGAATGCACGCGCATCTCCTGCCGCGCATGCGCATTCAGCCGAAGGGGCGGAGAGGAGGCGGAGAGCAGGAGGAGAGCTCCCTGCTCGGCGCTGGAAAAAAGGTAAGATTTAACTCTTTCCTTGCCATCCAGCCTGGCGGGAGTGGGACCCTGATGGTGGGGGCACCCTCAGGGCACTATAGTGCCAGGAAAACGAGTATGTTTTTCTGGCACTATAGTGGTCCTTTAAGTAATCTACACCCTGTTCCAAATTATTATGCAAATTATATTTTTCTCATTTACCTAAATAATTGATGTAAATCAAAACAGTCAGCATAATTCTCATGTTATCATTTATCATTTATCACTATTAAGAGTACAATTCAAATATTATTGAACAAACATAAAAAACTTACAATGCACTGTTCCAAATTATTACTGACTGTAAGTTTCAAAACACTTTATAGGTTGTAAAGAACTGAAAATTGTCATTTGTTGTGTTTGCAGCATATTTACTGACATCAAAAGCTATTTCAATCAAACTTATAACAACATTTTAACTTTTTAAACATTTTAACAGGTCACGTTACATTTTAACATAGGACCCCTTATTTGATAGCAGCTTCACAAGTCTTGCATCTATTGAACTTGTGAGTTTTTGGACAGTTTCTGCTTGAATTTGTTTGCAAGATGTCAGAATAGCCTCCCAGAGCTGCTGTTTGGATGTAGACTGTCTCCCACCCTCACAGATCTTTTGCTTGAGGATACTCCAAACAGTACTTTAGAATCCAATCTGCACAAAGTGAGTTTTTAAAAGGCAATACACCCCCAGGGGCCATAGTCACAGGATAAAAGGAGAGAAAGTCATGGTGTGGCCTCCATCCTCCCCTGACCTCAATAGGATTGAGGTCAGGGGAGGATGGAGGCCACACCATGACTTTCTCTCCTTTTATCCTGTGACTATGGCCCCTGGGGGTGTATTGCCTTTTAAAAACTCACTTTGTGCAGATTGGATTCTAAAGTACTGTTTCTGCCCCTTTAAGAACTATTGGCAAGGATTTGCATTTTCAAAGTAGCACTTTGGATACAGCCTAAGTGCCGAAGTAGTCGGAGTGGCCACCATTCGACATATGAACACGTGGCGGCGGCCATTTTAATTCAGTCAAACACGTTCAGCGGTGTTTGGTCGTCGAGTTCATGGAACTCAAATCGGATATGCGATGGCACGAACACCGCTGAACTTTACCTTCTCCAGACTTCAACACTTCGACGAAAATCGAAGTGCATTCGACAATTCGAACGCCATTTTAACTTTGAGTATTTGCATTCGAACGGAAATTAGCATTTGAACTATTGGAAATGGACTGGCCGCTCAGCCAAATTCTCTGAAACTGTTTTGGGCATGAGCTAGCTTAATTATATCACAGGCAGAGGGGAGGGATTGCTGACTGTATGTGGGAGTGCTACTGTACTAATTATTGTTCCTATTGGTTTGTGTCCCTTTTGTCCCAGTTTACCATCAGGTCTAGGGGTGTGCCTCTGGCCTGAAAATGTGTATAAAAGAAATGCCTTTGTGCTCATTAAACTAGACCTTCTTACCCTTAACTCCCAGCCTCGTTTCGTGTTGTAGGGAACAGCTATACCAGCTATATCACTGCTAGCTCTTGTAAGAGCTCTCTCTTCAGCTATACAGCTATAATCTCTTGGAGGAGAGATCCAGCTATACTCTCCTGGAGGAGAGGTCCTCTCCACACGGTCCTGGATCCAGAGGGAGTAACAGGGTGGGAAGAAGACGGCGAGACCCCAACCAAGCTACGGCGGTTCGTGAAGTCAGCGGTGGCTATTGGGTCCAGTGCGGTGCTGATGGTCCTTGGTAAGCGCTAGGAGCATCGATTGGCGGACAGTCCGCCACAATTTCCACTTTTAATATTGTAAAGCACTGCATAATATGTTGGTGCTATATTAAAGGACCACTATAGGCACCCAGACCACTTCAGCTCAATGAAGTGATCTGGGTGCCTGGTCCAGCTAGGGTTAACCCTTTTTTCTATAAACATAGCAGTTTCAGAGAAACTGCTATGTTTATAAATGGGTTAATCCAGCCTCTAGTGGCTGTCTCATTGACAGCCGTTACAGGGCTTCCGCGCATCAGCCGAAGAGGAGGAGAGGAGGTGGAGAGGAGGAGGAGAGTCCCCCGCCCAGCGCTGGAGAAAGAGATAAGTTTATCTCCACCCCCTTTCCACCCCCCAAAGCCCAGTGGGAGGGGGACCCTGAGGGTGGGGGCACCCTTTGGGCACTATAGTGCCAGGAAAACAAGTATGTTTTCCTGGCACTATAGCGGTCCTTTAATGATAATAATATAATTTGTGGTCAGGGACAATAAGTTGAGTTATAGTAGTGGTGGCATAAATCGGTTGTGGTGTGCGAGAAACAGATGTTCGGTTAGGCCTGCAAAAAGAGGGCCCACCAAATTGAATGGTTTGACAAAGGCAGTGGGTGTGCTGAATCAGGCAGTAACAGTAAAGAGGAAGGGACGGCCTGTATATGTATAAGTCAACTAACCCCTCCCACAATCCCAGGCTTCACCCACAGGCTCAGCCTTATATTTGTAGTTGGGAACAATATGCTGAGTCAGTGGCGTACAGTACGGGGTCGCGGCTGCAACCGGGCCCGGCCCACCAGGGGGTCCGGCCGCCCTGCGACCCGGTGTGTATGCCACTGTGGCCAGCCTCTTCTCCTGGGGGGCCCAGGAGCTGGCAACCTCAGGGCCCCCTGAGGCTGGCCCTGGTGTCACCCGGCGGGCAGGCTGGCAGGCGTGCAAGGGAGCACTCTCCCCTGAGTGCTTCCTCTTCAGCTCCCTCGTGCACTGCACTGATAACGGAAGATGACGTCATCTTCCAGCTCCGGCATCAGTACGCGACGCGCGAGGGAGCTGAAGAGGAAACACTCAGTGGAGAGTGCTTCCTCGCGTGCCTGCCACCACTGGACCCCAGGGAATCCCCATCAGCGCTCCCAAAGATAGGGAGGCTGGGGGGATTCAATTTTAAAAATAAAAGTGTGTGTTAGAGTGTGTGTGTGTTAATGTTAGACTGTGTGTTAGAGTGTGTGTGTGCTAGAGTGTGTGTGTGTGTTAGTGTTAGAGAGTGTGTGTGTGTTAGAGTGTGTGTGTGTGTTAGTGTGTGTGTGTGTGTGTTTGTTAGTGTTAGAGTGTGTGTGTGTTAGTGTGTTAGTATTAGAGTGTGAGTGTGTGTGTCTTATGCTAATTGGGTTATTTGGATTGGAACTCAACTGCAGCTTGTAAAACTCCCTAATTACAATAGTGAAGAAATGGAGAATCTTTAAAGTATCAATACTGTAGCTTTAAGAAAAGAGAGGATTGCTGGCAAATTGAGATTCAAACGAAGTTTTAATGATTGTTAAACTTAAATGAATTGCATTTAGGCAATTATCCAATAAGAAGTGCAAGTTATCAACAATACAAAGTTCATTAATAAGTATTTCCTCCGAGATTCATTAAGTAAGATTCTTTAGGTTCATGTGAATAATCTTCAATAGAAACATTAAGCAAGTAGCAGAGAGTCTTTGCAAAGCAAGAAACAGTTCATAATGAATAAGCATAATGGGAGTTGTCCTCCATGTAATTAGTAACTGAAGTAGAGAAGATTTGAGCAAGCAAGAATTAGTTCATTAATAAGTGAGATTGCAGACAATAGTTGAAAGCTATACTTAAGGTTAATTTGAGTTGTCCTCCAAGAGTTCAGAGATATAATCCACTTGTAAAGTAGAAGAGTATCCGTTCTCCAGTAATCCTCTATGGCATGAAGCATTTCCTTGCATTAGCTCAGAAGGCTCTGACGGCTTGTCAGAGCTTGTGGAGCCGGCGTGCATACCTGGAAGTAGATCCCACATTGACAGAGCCTGTGGAGCCAATGGCAGCCTGATTCTACGTTTGGCCCCCACTGCCCCTTAAAGAGTGCGCTCGTGACACGAGTCACACTCCTAATGCCAGGCAGGTCACGTAACCGCTCATTTCAGTTAGTGCATGTGGCCCGCTCAGAAGAGGAGATTGAGCCGCATGTGGCTCATGTGGAAACAAGGTAAGTACCACCACTGAAATATTATGTTAGTCCAATAAAAAAGGTATCATTGCATACTGCAGATTTGTCAAACTTCCCAACATTTTTTCTACAGACAAGTGTTCAGTTTCACTTCTCATTTTGTTTACTGCTCTGAATATGCTAATCTTCTAAAATAGACATTTCTTAGAAAACTTGCAGTATTTATTACGACA